TTATTTTAAGATATCTTAGAGTAAAGGTTTACCTTGATTCGTATTTATCTAATAATAATTTCTGCTTTAGTTTATGTATTTTAGAAACAATTATAGAAGTCAACGGGACTACAAAATTATATTCAAAATCTCACCAAATTAATATCCCGACGTGAAATCTTGGTAACACGGGAGTCCGCAGAGGTGGGCAAATGGGGTACTTGCCCCTTCCCGAGATCGAGTAAAAAGTTCCACAAATTATAATTGTAAAAGTGATTGAGATATGTGACCTTAAACCCTCGACCATGAGACGTTTTAATGAAATACTGTATTCTATAAGTTTCTTGTAAAAAAAACAAAAATAATTAAATAAAATTTTATTGGTGTAATTATTTGTCTGTAAGCTTTGCTCTCCCCTAGAAAATTTTATGTGAATGTCCATGCCTAGCAGTGTTATAAAATGAATAACGATTATCTCCTAGTAACTAAATACCTGTGTTTAATGAGTCAATATTAGATAACTTTTGAAAAACTTACGTTAATTAATATTATTTAATTTGTTCTCTTGCAGCTGTTAACTGCAAAGAAATAGATATAATCTGACTATAGAGCACAACAAATGTAACATGAATATGTTGAAATATTTAAGGATATATTATAATTATGCGCTAAGAGATATTATGAGATAAGAGAATTGTGAGATTGATTAAAGATGACAAGTTATAATTTTGAATACTTTAATAATTACGGCTGAAGAGAATAATCTAATGAAAAAATCCGAATGAAAAGTTTATTTATATATTTTTATGTTTTTAGACGGTTATACAATTTTAAATAATAGTTTTTCTTCGGATTATCTAAACCAGTCATGATCAAGCCGCGGCCCGCGGATCCAAAGTGGCCCTTAAAGTCCTAATTTCCGGCCTCTCGGTACTTTGTCAGTATGATTTTATTTTCCCGTTTACTGCCTCATGCTATTGTGCAATCCTAATTAAGCCGATATTCGTGACGAAAAACGTTCAAGCTCAATTTGATTAGTAAAAATATGAGAATAAATTATATACTGTATTACTATTGTATGTAAAATCACTTTAATCCGTGTCGGTTGATTTCCTCACAGCAACTCCAAGTTATTACTTAAGACTTTATTGTAGTATAACTTGTAGTATAACAAGTAATAACTTGGAGTTGCTGTGAGAAAATCAACCGACACGGATTAAAGTGATTTTACATACAACTGTATTATACAACATCCATACTACTTATATATTACTAGTTAGTTTTTATTATTTTAGCAGCTGGTGTACTAGAGGTAATCAAATATGTTGTTACTTGGCAGGCTTTACTTAAGGAGTTGCAGGCTTACAAAAAAGCCTGCAACTCCTTAAGTAAAAAATTACATGTGACCTGACGGAAGTCAACGAAGTTCAATTGCAGCCCGTATCCAAAAACGTTTCTCGGCCTAAATCTATGGGGGCGTATTTACACTCAATACAGCTGCTAGGATAACTCGCACCGGCGTGCGAATACTATTTTTTGAGCCTCTTACGAATTAGTGAAAAAATACAGTGAATTCCTACTTTTGATCACTATCAAAAGTCCTTTGAATTTAGTTTGGATGGAATACTGGTAACATTTGCATATACTAGTCTATATAAGTTTACTTTTTCCCGACGAAAAAACTCACCACCAGGCCACTTCGTATGCGCTTGATCCATATAAATCCATAGGCCTATAAATGTAAAGCGCAAGTAGACTATTAACACTTGGGCCGTTAAAACTCGCAATCTTACTTTTACAATGTAATTGTTTCTTCTATTTTTTGCCATTTTATAATTTAAATCGGGCACTTAATTAGGAATGTCTTTTGTGCCCGCTTGTGGCTTCTCCTTATCCATCCACAAAATTACGTAATGCATATCCTCGATCAACCACCTTTATTGTACAGTACTAAGGAATACTGAACGTTAGATCATTTTATTAATTAAATGTATAAATGTATCACTTTACACGTAGCGCAATGCAGCATTCTTATTAGCAACAATTTGGCTTTAAGCTTCCTGCAGCCGTTGCAGCACTGCTGAATTTAGCAACGACCTGATAGAGACGGCATTCCCATTTCAATACGTTGCGCCCCATGGATTCAGGATGAGAATTCAATATGGCCATATGAGGAGGACGTTTCGAAGGCAAGCAAACGAGTGAATTGTATATTATCCAAATTCATTTTCATAGCTTACTTCGATAAATGAAATATTTATCGCGTACAAGAATACTTTTGTTTTCTGCAAAAAAAACGTTAAATTAAGCCAGTAATTAAGCTATTTTACGTCAAGTTTTTAGTTATTTATTTTAAAAAACAATGATAATATTATTTTGAATTTTGACTCGGTCCGCAGAGAAAATCTCTAACTGTTACGGTGATTAAAGTTCGGATATTTATAAATCATACTTAATAATTTTATGGCCTGTCACGAACAGATAAGGCATCAATTCTAATGACATATACTTTCGGAAATAATTCATTTATTTATGCATTCTATTGGTAGTGCTAAACATTATAAGATTATTTCTCCCTCACTAAATTTCAAACAAACCCAATAAAAGCTAAAATACAAACTCAACAGTAAAGAATAAAGCATAAAACCCAAAAAAACAACAGATCAGTGTTTCTCAAACTATCACGGTATTTGAGAAACGCGTGTCTTAGGAGCTCTATATATAACTTATAACACACGTTATAACGTGTGTTATAAGTTACGTTAAAATTCATTATCACGAAATTTATTTCATTATTGATTTACTATCATTATATCATCAGTTTTATCGTATTATCGAATATATATTTACCAGTCATTACTTTCACTTCATTCCAGAAATATAGTAGAAGGCCTAAACTTTGCTTCAAAATTTTTGAATGATCTCTATTGGAACATCTCTATAAAAACAGATAAGTAAGTACTGCAGAACTATTTATTTTTTGTCAAATTTATTACGATAAAGTTACATATATGAAAGTGAACTACATGCACTATTATATAGTATTCTTTGTGTTAATGCAATAAACAACCTAAATAAATTTATTTCATCAAGTCCGTAATTTTCTTTTAAATGCAATTTCTCATAGCCGTCTTTTCAATTATTTCCTCGATCTAGTAAAATGCATTATAACTATAGTCGGCAAATCCAAATATTTTCTCGTTATGCTTAAATGAAACAATGCATCTTTATGATTATGAGAACCAGTTTTCATTGACTCGTAAACAATTTTAGTTTCGTCTTCGTTTTATTCGACCTATTCAACTTTTTCCATTCATTTTCTTTTAACCATATGGCATATTTCAATAAATCTCAATAAATAATTATTTTTTAAAGACGACTTCTCTCTCTGTGGGCACTGACTGCCATTTTAGTAAGCCTATTATGAGTTCGACCAAGCCCACAATGGAACGAAGCCGAGTGGTGAGAGACGGGGCCTAACATATCTGGACGAACTATTCCTGAAAAATTCGGGATTTGTCCCTATTCATTCCCAGGTCCCTCAGAACAGTAGGTTACTTTCTTAACTGCTCAGTCATTCAGCCCTCAACAAATATTGTAGTACAGAGAGCACTGTCGTCGTACTTTATGGACGGTGATGATCGGTTATAAATCTTCTTTAAAATAATGTTCTCGTATGCGGACTTCTGCTCTAAACATGTCGACACTGCGCTCATTTGAACAGATTGCTCTGTTAACTGGAGTTCCACTAATGTAAAAGAGAGTAAAAATCGGGAGCGTGAAAGAGTATTCTTTTAAGCGAACTATTTCCTTATTCGATGCTCTGTCAAGTGGATTTGACTGTAATAATAATGTGTACAAGGTATAGAAACAATACTCAAAATTCAATATTTATTGATGAAGACATTGCTCTCGACAAGTGATTAAGCAATGCATAAATATAATATATGATCCAAAGTATTTTCACGGTAACACGTAATTTGATTTAAATACCTGTATATTTTTGTGATATATCAATGTCACATATAATTTTAAAATTTCGCTGCATGACATTTTTTTTCCCGATTACAAACGCTAAACAAATATTCCGACCCACCTATTTAGGCCTACTCATTGCTTAATTTCTTGGCTGTCGCCAAGAAATTAAGCAATGAGTAGGCCTAAATAGCCAAGAAATTAACCCTTAATTCGATGTTTCTGGATTGATTATAAGTAATCCAAAGATGATTTAACGTATACGGGAGAATGTGAGTAGGTTATGTGCAAATAAGATACTACGCCATTTTATATAAGGGATATGAACATCGGCGAGGGTCCTGGATGCTCCGCGGATGCTCTCGCGGATACTTTGTGTTTGTCTTCAAATTATAGCCTACATATTTTAAATACAATCGACCCACCTATAACACTGTTGATTATTCCGTTTTATATGAATTTCATGTTGTACGAGTCACTTAGATTTTACAAATACGTGAGCCGTTCACAGCCCAGCACACATATTTGTAAAATCTAAGTGACTCGTACAACATGGAATTCATATAAAACGGAATAATCAACAGTGTTATAGTGGATCGACTGTATTTTTTTTTTATTTTATATACACAGTATTTAAAAATTTTATTACATCTTTGTCGTATATTCTATAATATATACACACACACGTATAGGCTATATAGTAAAAACGAAAATATTTATAAATAAGTATCTATTATATTATTTTTATATATGAAGTTTATCACTATGTGTTTTCATTACGAATTTTTCATTTTAAAAAATTCATAAGTTTAAATCAACTTATGATAAATGATAAAGTGTTAAGATCTGTTGTTACACGTACTATAAATTTATTTCTGGGCGCTAATAACTTTTAAATATTTGAATTGTTTGTTTAAATTAGTCTCATTCAAATCACTTTTTCACACAGCATACATTTTGTGCTCACACAAATTATACTTACTTTTTTGCCAGATAAACCTTAATTCATTTTCAACACTCACATTTAATCTTAACCCAAACTTTAATCAAGACTCAAAAACTGTTAAAAATTAGTTTATATAAATGAAAGAAATTGTTTAATTTACCTTCTGTCGTAGTTGGAGTAATTGTAGTAGTTGTAGTAGTAGGCTCAGGAGTTGTGGTAGTAGGCTCAGGGGTTGTGGTAGTAGGCTTAGGGGTTGTGGTAGTAGGCTTGGTAGTCGTAGTAGTAGATGTAGTACTTTTCTTTTCCTTCTTTATACACACAACTCCTCCCTTTGTATTACATTCTTCAGCAACTAATTTATAATTGTATTCGCATGACAGCAACCCACATTCTCCTTTATCAGATGGTTCTCCCTCAGCCCAAATCGAATCTGGTACATCGCTTCCGTCTAAATTTTTCCACTCTCCATCTATCTTTTCCACACCAACCCATGAGTAACCAAAAAACATACAAAGAACAGTGTTGAACAAATTATTGTAATCATCTTCAGTCTTTACAGGCATTACAATAGCATCGTTTCCACATCTTATATCAGCATATTTTTTCATGTCATACTTGAATTTTAAACATCGAGATCCCGATTTCGAGAAACCATCTTTACATGCTAAATGAAAATTAAAAAAAATTCTGGAGTCAAATTGCTGAAATAGAAAATGAAATATGGCTTGAATTTGTATGGCATTTTAAATAATTTGAAAGATCGTTAACGCAAAAAATAAAAAATATATTAAAAAATCGTTTACTAAGATAAATTAATATTTCTTCTGATATTTTAATAGTTTGATTTTCTCTATGTTTATAGTAATTCTCTGCTGTTTAACAGATGTATCCAACCTATCCAATTGTCTTTCTCATATTCTCATATATATATATATCTATACTAATATTATAAAGAGGTAATGTTTGTATGTATGTATGTATGTATGTATGTATGTATGTATGTATGTTAGTTTGTATGCAGCAGGTAATCTCCAAAACTACTCATCCAATTTCAAAAATGTTTTCACCAATATTTAGAATGGAACTTCAGGGTGAACATAGGCTGTATATTATTCCGTTAAACATGGGGGATGGACAGTTCTTTACGGTAAGCCTTACGGAGAAAGCTTACCGTAAAGAACTCTGCTTCTATTTATACTATTTTAGATGCGGCTTTTGCATTTTTGATTGCATTTTAATAGGGTACGTCAACAAAATGTACACAAAGAAGGGATTTTTCGATATCCCCCCGCGGGGAGAGTGACAGGATTAAGGCTTACTGTGAAGAACTTGGCTTCTATTATACTATTTTAGATGCGGGTTTTTGCGCTTTTGATTGCGTTATAATAGGGTACGTCAAGAGAATGTACACTAAGAAAGAATTTTTCGAAAAANATTTTAAAATAAAAAATTTCTCAACATATAATCGGGCTGAAATTTTGAAATTACAGACCTATATATTCCAACTAAGGACAGTCTGTCCTTCATTAATCTCGAAAACGGAGTTAGCTAGATGAAAATCGAGACCAGATATGGAAAGCTATATACAAATATAAACTATATAGGAACTTCTGATCTGGACCGGAAGTCACGTAATTTTTTAAGGTTACAAGGTGATTAAAAGTTGCAGCCGTGCAATGCGACGATGTTACAGTAAATAATTGCTCTTATTATTACGAATTTTTGTTTATTTTATTTTATTTGAAAGTTTATGTGAGGTTTTGCTTGGTTGAGTATACATAAACGCTATCAGATCCGAGTGGTTAACCCATGCAAACCTCAACGATTGTAACATTCCTTATTTAAAGATGAGTGTCGCGTGAATCGCGATAGAGAGGAGTTAACACACGCTTAAATTTATAAATATATTTACGGTATTTAATATAGTGAGAAAACACATTAATTTTCCGATCACACACGAGGGAAAGAGTTTACATAAAACTTAGTTCATCATATGTTATGACATGGATGCTGAAGGTCAGTCGTCTGAGTTTTCAATGGCAAAGTGATGGTTAGACGGAAGGCGTATAGCGACAAAGGATCCGGTTCATAGACTGGCGGATGATGGACACTAGACAGTTGGTCGAAGTCCTCCATATCTTAGCGCCACCCTGTCGGGTCCCGTCCTTCACATCCTTATCACCCAGCCGTCCCACTGTGAGCCTGACGAACCCAAAATGGGCTTGCTAAAAGAAGCTCTCTTAGGATCACAGGGCGGAAAAATTTATATTCAAAAGTAAAACAATTTCCTTTTAAAATGTATTCTCTGAAACACAAAAGTAACGACAAATTTCTTAATTAACATAATGAAAATAAATATTTTCTGAAAAAGAATGAAAATTATTTGGCAATTTAAAAAATATTAATTTAATCCATTAAAAAATTTACCTTTTTTTAACAGTCTTGAGTTTTCTCTGATTTTAATCTTCTTTTATAAGTTATTTTGTTTGTTTATTGTATTAATTGTAACAGGTATACTACTAACTTTTAGGTTAAAACATTCAGATATTCGTTTCATTTATTCTCATTCAAAATAACATAGATATAGGCTACTTACGTTATTATCATCCATTAATGATTCTAAATCAAATATATCTTGAAAGATTAATTAATTAAGATGAACGATTAAAAAAAAATTATTTGACGAATGACGAAACAAATTAACTAAGACACTTATCTCAATTGTTAATGTGGACTTTTGATGAATCTGATGATAAAATTTGAATTATGAACAGATTGAATAACTTACTCTTGGTTGTAGTTGGCGCTTTAGTAGTCGTAGTGGTTGTGGAAGTAGTTGTAGTTTTTTTTTTCCTGGCTCCTTCCTTTTCGCATAATGCGAAAGTAACTACATCACAAGATTTAGACACTAATTTGAAATCTTTTCGACCTGCTATAAATCCACACTTTCCTTCCGATGGTTCTCCGGGAGCCCATGCCGAAGCCGGGATTTTACTTCCATCCGAATTCTGCCATTCCCCATCTTTCAATATGGCATCTGTCCAAACTAAAAGAAACGTACCGTGACGAATTTCATCGTAGAATCTTCTGTGATCGTCTTCGTCTTTAACTGTAGCTAAATGAGCTTTTCTTCCATTACTATTGCACCTATTTTCTGCATCGACTTTCTTTTCGTTGCCGAATTCGAGTAATTGGTAACTTAGACAGAAAGAATCATATTTATGGAAGTCATGTTCCGTATCGCATTCTGTTAATTATTATAATTAGAATTTTGTTATTAATAACTTAATGAAAAAAAAAATATTTAGCTCACCTCCATCGACTGGATCTTTCTGACATACGAAAGGAGCTTTGTAGTCTTTATGGTTACATTGGCTAGTTTTTAATAAATATTCCTCTCCTTGAAACCATCCGCATTTTCCGTTATTCCAGTCTGGTTTATCGTCCCATAGTGTATAATCATCCGGGTTTATTTCGGTTTCGTCAGAAAAAACCATTCTGGTTACTTCCATCGAATATGAGCCATCTCCTTTTCCTTCGAAACCATTCCAATATCTGTTTTTAAATTTATAATTATAAATAGTTTGGTTGATCATATCCATCGATTCTTCATCTATGATACGGAATCCCGATGAACCAGATCCGCATCCATACGTGGATTTTAAACTGTCGTGACTTCTGATGGGTATTAGAACTAAGTAACACTCATCGTTTTTGCCATCTACATAAGATTAAGAATTGTTATTACATTATCCCAAGTAATTTTATATATCGTGTATTTTAAGATATGTTATTAAAAACCTCTAGAATACGAAATTTTTCTTATTTTTTTATATTAATTATTTAGTTTCTAATTCCCTATTATGCCACCCATCTTTTATTATCATATAATATTATTTATAAGTCGTTATCACAGATTGATAATCCTCTTATAAATAACTATTATATGATAGTAAAAGATTGGACTTATAATATAATTGAGATGGTTGATGATGATGACGATAATAATAATAATAATAATAATAATAATAAGCGCAGAGCCCAAACGGTTAGGAGTTGAAAGTTGGTACACAGTTAGGGTACACCATGAGAATGTACACTAAAAAGAGATTTTTGGAAATCCCCCCGCGGAGGAGAGGGAGAGAGTTAAGGATTACCCTGAAGAACTCGGCTTCTACTGTACTATTTTAAATTAGGTTTTTGCGTTTTGTAGGAATCGAACATATTTTTAGACTCATCTAAAAATTCTCTAATTAGCCTCGGAAGAGGAGGACCTAAGTCTTGCATCCGGTGAAAATGGGTAAGATCGGCTATATAACTATAAAGGTTATCTTACATAAGGGTTTATCACACCGAGTGACCAATCTAACACATTTTAAAAATTCTTTATTCTTCTACTGTACACAATTTAGAGAATGTTTAAAATGTATTAGATTGGGCATTCGGTGTGATAAACTGTTACGTAAGATAACCTTTGTAAATATAAATCGAATATTAAGTTATAATGTAATATAGTAGAAGGGTTAGAAATACGAAATAATCTAATAATCTTAATCTTTGCTGTTGTTATTTTTTGCCCGAGCAACGCCGGGCTCATCTGCTAGTTTTCTATATTTTCAAAATAAATAAATATTTATAAAAATAAAAGGAGTAGCATTAGACTGTAAATGAAAAACTTACCAATAGTACATAAATAAAAAGTGGAATATAGAATGATAATATATCGAATTTCCATTCAGAAAAGAATATTCATGCGGCAATCTCAGTATCAATATATGAAGTGATCGGAATTGTTTAAATTACTGTTGCTGTCGAAACGTNAACTTATGTATAGTCGTTTTTTGTCATTTTCTGTATGTAAATTCGCTTTATAATTTTGTATTTTATTACATTATTTTTCTTTTTTAATTTGGATATTATTTGTTCTGACGCATGACGACTCTTTCTTGCAGTTCGTTGACTTGCCTGTACATTTTTTGAAAAAAAATATATATATATATATATATTATATTATTACTTACCACCGCTATCTTTTTGTTGACATACGTAAGGTGCTACAGTGTTTTTGTCGTTACAAGGAGCAGTCTTTGCATGTGGACCTCCCTGGAACATTACACAGTCATTAGAATATCCCCACTCTGGATCATCTTTCCATAAAGGAAAATCTCCAGTATTCATTTTTTCTCCGTCAGTAAATTCCATTTCTTCTACACCTCCACCAAAGCCTTTTCTAACTGCTTTTACTCCATTCCACAATGGCATAGGGAGACTAAAGCTATTGAATTTTTTCTTTATTTTTTTCCAAACTTCTTCGCTTGGGATCGAAATTAATTCCTTTTTATCTCCACAATTCTTTATTGCGTCGTTTTTCTTATTAACAGGTAAATAACTTAGCGTTATAGATCCATCGTCATCATCTACAGATTTGAAATTTTTTTTATATATATAATATTATAATATAATAAATATTAAATATATTTATTTCTACAGAGGGAAATTTGTCTGCATGTTACTATAAAACGAAAAATTTTAAGTGTTCTTATAAAATAATAAAAACAATTGCATTTTGTATATTGAATTTAAAACCATTTCGAATTCGGTAGACAATGAAATTTGAAAAACTTACCTGCAGATATCAGAAATAAACGAATAAAAAAAGATGTTAAAAGAAAGAAGATTTTCATTACAGTCGAGAGCTTCATTGTAACCTGTATAGAAATGACTAGAAAATAGTTATGATTAGCGTGTATAAAGTTAACAATAATGATAAAATCTGAAGCAGTAAGTCACGATATAGAAAAGAAATCTCAATTCAATATTCTCGCATTTTTTCAATAGCAAAAAATGTTTAAGAATTAATAAAGATAAAGCATTTACACCCTGGATATATTCCTACTTTTATTGAATATTTGATATACTCCAAAACCATTTTTTTTTTCAAAATTTTTACATAGTATTTGAATAGCAAATTTATGAAAATTTGTTCAAATAATATAATTGAATTAAGATTTACATACTGTAATATCATAAAATACTGTAGAACAATATGTATTTTTCATAGTTTATCATGTTTCAAATCAATAATCAGATTATAGAAAGTTGGTTTTAATTAACTGTACTAATGATAAGGATTACAATTATCAATTAATGCAAACTAACATTAATACAACATTAGTTTTTTTTTTGTTTTTTTTTTTGGTTTCAACACTTAATTGTTTAAGTTTATTAAAATAAATAGATTTTAAATTTTATATGAAAAACAACGTAACATTTTAAAATTGAATTCCGTTCATATATTTCATGTTCATGTAGATCTTATTGAACTTATGTCGGCAATTAAAAATAGATGGAAAACTTGTTTGTTTACCGTCACTTGGTAACATTGTTAAGATTAAAGTTAAATTATACCATTAAAAATTGAACATTTGAATTTGATATTAAATTTTAAAATTTAAAACTTCCGCGTTACTTATTATATCAATTCCTCAAACCGCATAAGTGGAAATACTTCGAATTGAATACGAAAACTTATTTTCAAACGTTAACACGAAATAAATAAATTTATAGAAAAATTAAATTAATTAAAATATCTATAACCGTTTGGCAGATAATAATAAGGGCTTATCACACCAATGATAATGGGCACAAACGCTCAAGAATCAAAGTAAAAACATTTAATAAAACAAAAAGGGTGTACAATAAGATGATTAAATAAGTATAGAAACCGAAAAATCCAAAATGCATTTCGGACTATTTTACAATAGAAAAATAGTCCCTCATCAGTTGGTAATAACGAAAGGTTTTAGTATACTTAAAAAATTATACAAGGTGAAAAAAATAAATTTAAAATTAAACTTAAAACTATGCCTAAAGCTATACAATATAAAGATGAAACCGTCGCCACGACTGTATGAGCAGTAAGCATTATCAATGTAGACAGGAGTAATATTTCTTCATAACTTTGCATGTTAACGTGACGAACAGAGTGCAAAAACAGTAGGACAACAGAGTTGCGGGTTCAGACATTTCTACAAGATGCAGTTACAAGTTACAAAGGAAGGCCGGATGGCCGCGCGGTCAAGGTGGTAATCTACCGCTTTGGGAGACCCCGGGATCTGAATCCGGACGGGTCAAATAATCCCTAAAATTTTTTCGGGGTGTGGTCCGTCCGGATATGTCTGGCCCCGTCCCTCACCACCTGGTGGCCCCATTTTGGGCCTAGCATGTACTCATAATGGGCTTGCAAAAAGAGGCTCTCTTAGTGCCCACAAGGCGGAAAAAGTTAAAAAAAAGTTACAAAGGAGGTGTGTTACGCTTACACATCTGGAGCACAAGAATCATTGGTGTTATAAGCCCTTACTATTATCTGCCTCACGATTATAGATATTTTAATTAATTTAATTATACTTAGGGCTAAAAGCAATTTCTGTAATAATAATGCTATAGAAAAATGTCGATGCGATGTCATACATAGCGTAAGATTGAATTCAATTCGTTTTCATTAATTTAATTTTATTATTATTATTTCTTATTTTTAAAAAAATCTTATAAGAATGAAATTTTCTATAAAAATAATTTTTTTAATTCAGAAACGAAAATTTTTAAACCTGGCAACACTGTCTCGACAAACATGTTTTGTGGCGTATGGTTTGTTTTGCGGAAACACGTGTTACTCGATCGCGTTGTTAAATATAATTTTTACACGTAAATTAACATTAAATATTGTTGTTGAATATCTGATCATATGAATCGATTTAAACTGCATAATGTTCAATTTTTCCACTTTCAACCTAAAGCCATTCAATGCTTGGCGTACGACGAAGATTCGGAATTATTGGCTGTGGGAAGGTAGTATGTCGCTTTGATTTTTTATTATTGTATTTTTGATTCGTTATAACTTTATGTTTTAATAAGAAGAAATGTTTATTAGTTATTTAGATGAATTTTAGCTTGTGCTTAAGTAATTTTCAAGAATTAATCGCGAAATAATATAGATATTGAAGAATTGTTGGATTTTGTATGTAATGTGTGGTCGCACGTTGTCCTGTTGAAAACTGGCCACTGGCAAGCCCTGAAGATATGGGAAGACAACGCTAAACATTGAGCTTTGCAGGCTTGTTTTAAATGATATGTATAAAACATTGCTTCTTGTATAGTCTGAATTTTTGTATAGATCCAAATTGTTGGAGATGTAGTGCTTGCTGTTGAGTGTACAATTAATGCATACTAGGTGGGTTTGGGAGTAGAAACAAATGGCACCCAAACCATAATGCCCGGTTATGGATCATTATTGGCAATGCAAATTGCAAGGGTCAGACAGTCTCTTGCCACAGTGCTGCTAGACATGGAGTCAACAATTGTGGTGTGTAGACAGAATTTTGATTTATCAGAGAAGATGACGATCTGCCATTCTTGGTTTCAGTTGTGACTAGAATCACAATGGAACTAGAGTTCCATTGTAATTCCAGTCATTTTTTTATTTTTCTGTTGCCTTTTTGCAATTCATGATTAATAAAAATAATAAAATTTTACTTACAAATTAAAATCAGACAAAATTTAACAAAGTTATAAACCGTGGCACCGCAAACATCTAGTCTTGTCTAATACACCAAGAGTGCTACTTGTTCATAGATGGTGTGTGTAATTGAATTAAGTTATATACCAAACAAAAGTCGTATATTGAGCAAAATTTGTTTTGTCCAAACAGGACGTATTCCGAATTGGACGTATTCTAAAGCAGACACATACCGAAGTACCACTGTATATACATGCCAACAGATAAGTAAACATTTTAAACCTGAAAAAAATCTAAAAGTAGATAATGGTCTTATATAATGGGTATAAAATGCAGACTTTTATCAGAGTAGTAAATAAGTAAAATAGTGCTCCAAACAATTGCTTTACACCATTTGCTATAACACTAATAGGCTGTTATATTTTGAACTAAAATTAGTGTTTGATTATCTTACTTATTGTGGAGATTAATATAATAACAATTCAGTATTAATGAATGTTACACCATATTCTGTTTCCAACAGTTGATATATTGATTCTACTACAGTAGAACTATCAAGTGGTAAAACTGATGATGCTGATGCAAATTCATATAAATACAGTAGAACCTCGATTATCCGGACCTCTATTATCCGGATTTTTGATTATCCGGATTGTTCAAAATAAACAAAAATTTTACGAATTTGCTGATTTGCACTTGGTGAATTATAATACTGTTTATGTACGTGATGGAATGAATAACTTTTCTTGTTTCAACAATGTCTCGCCCAGCACAGTGGTCGTAAACTCTTAAATATATTTTGCGTCGTAATAAAAATATAACTTGACATACGTATTTATAAATAATTTATATTCAAATTACATCATTTCTATGACCAAGGGCAACATGGGCCACCACCTATGCCTCGCGCCTTGAAGGTTTATGCATTACTTAAAAGCCGCGAACGCAATGAAAAAGTTTTAGTCATCATAAAACGATAAATAGTTTGTCAAATTTTTATTCATAAAAATGCAGTTTCAACTGCTTTTTATTTTATAAAATCCATCTTCTTGCACCACCAGAGGGCCTTTTAAACAATAGGTAGTCTGTTAGCGCTGGTCAGTAGAAGTCCAAATTCAATACGAATGTTTGTTTCTTGAAAATTTGATCTCGATTTAAATACAGTATTTATTTTTAATATTACTGATATGTCATCTAAAAGAAAATGTGTTGTATTATCATTAAAAGGCAAATTAAAGTATTTGTTTCGATTATCCGAATTTTTCCTTATCCGGACTACCTTCATCCCCAATTAGTCCGGATAATTGAGGTTCTACTGTATATAATATGATATGTTTAAAAGTGTTAGAAAGCCGAACCTTATGGCATACCCTTTGAAAAGGAAGGATGAAGAGTTTTAGAGGAAGTGAAAAGAGGGAAGAAAAGTGAAGAATGATAGGAAAGTGTGAAGTGGGAACCATGGCACCGTCGTGTTCCATTTATTGAGTATACTTGGCACATGGGGCATAGTCCACAGATAACAGTATGTTCAAAATATACAGAAAATAAGCCTGCACATGGTACTGCCTCTAGGGAGACAGGGAATGTGAGCAATTGACAGCTATGCACATGGACAACCAACACAAGCTGCATATAAATATAATATATTTTAAGAGTTTTTTAATTTTTAGTATTATATTTAGCCTTAGAACAAATAGGGTTTGCATCAGGAAGGACATCCGTAAAGCCTATGCCAAAACTATATGGAAGTAAGCTATAACTGTGTTAGGATGCCCTCCCCCGAAGAGATGCACAGTTATGTCGCCCAAAAACTATGTCAAAGGAACTGGGACGACTGAACCAAAATGGGTTCAGATAAAGAAGATAGTCCAGAAAGAGAACAGGAAGAAGACAAGTATAAGAATAGGTACTTTAAACATCAGAACATTGAATGGGAAGAGTAGAGAGTTAATGGATCTTATGCAAAGAAAGAGTAAAGATTTTGTGCCTGCAAGAGACAAGTTGGAAAGGAAATAAAGCTAAAGAACTTGGTGAAGGGTACAATCTGTTTGTGAGTGGAGCGAATAAGAGAGGAAGGAATGAAGTTGGTATCATAATTGATAAAGTTCTAAAAGACAGTGTCTGTGAGGTTAAATGAAGGTGTGATAGAATTATAAGTGTTAAGTTGGGCATTGGTGGAATTTTCATTATGATTGTGTGTGTGTATGCTCCTCAGCCAGGTAGTGGAGAAAAAGAAAAGACAAACTTTTGGTCAGATCTTGACCAAGTGTAATGTGTGTTCCTATGAATGAGAGATCTGTTGGGGCAATTTAAATGGTTGTTGGGAAGAGGAAGAATGTGGAAAGAAGAATTCTTGAGAGGTGGAGTGTGGGAGAAAGGAATGGAGAGAGAGAAAGACTAGTTGATCATGCTGTGGCTTTTGGCCTTGCACTAGTTAATACCTACTTTGAGAAGAAAGTGAACCAACTGGTTACATACATGAGTGGAGGTAGATCCAGCCAGATTGATTTTTTTCTTGTGCCTCAGGATACATCTGAGTGAAGTGAGAAACAGTAAGGTGTTAAATGGAGAAAGTGCTGCTATACAACATAGAGTTCTCTTGGTGGATTGTGACTTTCTTATGGACCAATTGTAAGAATTATATTAGCTAGATTGAACAAAGGATCAAATGGTGGAGATTGAAAGAGGAGGAATTAAGGAAAGAGTTTAAGGTAAAAGAAATCCAGTTTCCGGATGATGTGCAAAAATAGTGGTTGCTGAATAGTAATTGCATCTTGAAAGTTGGAGAAGAGGTTTTGGGAAAACTTCAGGGAAGAGATTGCCAGAAGGAAAGGAACTTTGGTGGAGGAATGCTGAGGTACAATCCACAGTTAAACAAAAGAAAGAGGCAAAGAAAAGGTGAGATTTGATGGGAAGGCCTGAAGCTAAAGAAACTTACCATTTGGCAAATAAAATGACTAAAAAGGCAGTGGCTATTGTAAAAGCAAAGGCTTTTGAAAAGGCTTATAAAGTTTTCAAAAGTAAAGTTGGTGAAAGACAGTTGATGAGAATTGCCAAAGCAAGAGATAGGGCATCAAAAGATTTTATCTCTATTAAACTGATTAAAGGGTCACAGAAAGATGGAAAGTATATTTTAGGAATTTATTGAATGAAGAAAACTCCAGAACTTTATATGAGAATGGAGAGGCAAATGAAAGAGTGGTGCAAGATATTAGCATAGAAGTGGAAAGTGTGCTTAGATGGAGAAAGCAGTAGGCACTGATCAGATTCCGGTTGAGGTTTGGAGAGGTTTGGGTAAGGAGGGAATTGAAATCCTCTGGGACCTTATGAAGAAACTCTCAGGAGAAGATCCCAGATGAATGGAGGAAGAGCATTATGATGCTGATCTTTAAAGGTAAAGGAGATGTATAGATTTGCAGAAATTACAGAAGTAAAAAGTTATTGTCCCATACTATGAAGATTTGGGAGAAAATTGCAGAAAGAAGGATTAGGCAGGAATCTGAGATTGGAGGGAATAGTTTGGCTTTTTACCGGGAAGGCGTACAACTGATGCTATCTTTGCTTTAAAACAGCTGATGGAAAGGCACGGGGAGATGCAGGAAGGTTTGCATATGGTGTTCATACATCTAGAAAAGTCATATGATAGGGTACCAAGGCAAGAGGTATGGAGATGTTTGAGGGAAAAGAATGTTCCAGAGAAATATGTTAGGCTCATCAAGGAAATATATGAGGGAGCAAAGACCCAAGTTAAGAGCAGTGTGGGCACTACAGAAGGGTTCTTCGTTAATGTTGGTTTGCATCAGGTATTAACCCTTATTTGTTTGACCTGATAATGGACATGATGGTGTGTGATGTGAAGTGTGAGGCTTCATGGAGTATGCTATTTGCGGATGATATTGTGCTGTGTGAACTTTCCCAAACCAAGGCTGAGAAGAAATTGGAAGATTGGAGGAAAGTTTTGGAAGAAAGGGGCATGAAGATTAGCAGAACTACAACAGCTTATATGACTCTGAATGGTAGAGATGAGTGTAATATTAAAATCCAAAATGTACCGTTTCCTTTGGTTCTGAGTTTTAAATATCTTGGGACATTTGTCGAGATAGGAGGAGGATTGAACTCGGAGGTGCAGCATAGAATTCAATGTGGATGGATGAACTGGAGGAGCTGAACGGTGTGTTATGCGACAAAAAAGTTAGCTGCAATCTGAAAGGAAAATTGTTTAAATCAGTTGTTAGACCTGCAATATTATATGGACCAGAGACATGGGAAATAACAAGAGCCCAAGAAAGAAAGATGGAGATGGAAGAGATGAGAATGTTGAGATGAACATGTGGCGTGTCAAGGAAGGATAGAATAAGGAATGGTTTTATTAGAGGTTTTGTTAAGATGGGCTCCTTGAGCAAAAAGATGCAAGAATGCAGGTTGAGGTGGTTTGGCCCTGTAGAGTGTAGAAGCGACAATTATGTTGGAACGAAGATTGAAAAACTGGTAATAAAAGGAAAGAGGAAAAGAGGAAGACCAAAGATGCATTGGAAAGATAAGGTGGAAGAAGACTTGAACCAGAGGGGACTTAAGACAGAAGCCATTGATAGGGAAAAATGGAAGAAACATATTAGAGAAGGAAACACCAACCCCATATAAACATGAGAAAAAGTCACTTGTTCTTTTTCCGTATTTAGACATGTTTAGATACATAAGTACTTATCATTATGTTACATGTAGGTTATACTATATGAATACCAGACTATATCATATAGGTTTCATTAAGTACGCACTATGATGTTCACTTTTCTTGGATTATATTGTTGTACTCTGCAAGATTACTTTAGAAATATATCTCTTTAAAGAAAGGCAGCAAAATTTTAATGATATTTGCCTTGTTTTATTCTTATGCATGACCATGCATATGAGGCCATGCAAAAAAGCCTCAGTTTTCCCTACCCCAATTTTGACAGCGTTCAGCAACTTCCCATTTAAATATTTTAATTAGAAAAAAATATTTCATACTAATTTTGAGGCATTTTACAACTTTGTAATTTAAACTGTCCCACTATCATTCATAGGCGCTGAGATAGGATTTGGCTTTATGAGAAAGGAAATAGGCAACTATACCATTGAATAGCCCACTTTCAATTACTTATACTTCTATATTCTTGTATTTAGTTAATGCATAGCAAAAACAAGATATAGCTAGGCACAGTATTTTTGTCTGCATCAATAGTTCTCAAACTTTTTTTGGCTCACAGCAAACTATAAAATACAAAAAAAATTTTCTGTGTACAAAATTTAAAATATTTATTAAGAGCTTTAAAAATTCACAAATGAATTTTTCTTTGGACTAACTGTATAAGTGACCTCTTTTGTTATCCCTTCGAACACCATCAGAAGAAAGGTCAGAGATCTCTGCTGGTGAAATAACAATTTCACGGCAGAGATGACTTTTCTTTAGAGGCTATTATTCCCCGCTTCAACATTCAAAACATTAAAAAATTCTATCTGGCGGTGGCATACACACTTTAAAAATTATACACTTAATAAAATATTTTTGCCAGAACATAAGTAAAAACTTTAATTTTTACTTATGTTTCAGCTAAATATTTTATTAAATATATTAATAGCTATTTATAATTTAAAACGTATCTATTCTGATAACTGCTATCCTGTAGATCTAATCTAGCTAGTTTACAATTAATGTCATAACTTGTACAAGTAACTTAAAGAAAAACTTTGACTCCACTGTGAGACTGTTAGTTTCTGATGTGCAATAAAGAAAAAAATGTGAAGACATTTTAGTGTTTGTTCTAAATTTTTTGAATTTTTTAAAAGTATATTTATTGTTCTTGCAAATTTTTATTAATAGGGTTTTTTTTTCTTGTTTTTACATCCTGTATAATTATTGTATTTGCATGTATCTAGCAAAATTGTATAGCAAACAAAAATTTTTTGACAGCTTTATTTTCAAATAATAACTTATAAATTTATTTGTTTTTAAATAACAATTTAAAAACAAATATTTATTAAAGTAATAAAATTAATCAAAACAAAATATATAAATTAAATAGTAATTATTTAGTTAAACTAAAGAAATAAAATTATTCTTTATAGGTCAGATTCTTCAATTGAAATATGGGATTTGAAATATGCTCCTTATCAAGAAGCTGTAAGCTTGTGCTTTTCCTTTCTTAATTAATTACTTATAGTAAACTAAATTTTTATATCAATATGTATTTATCAGTTAACTTTTATTAATTTACTTACATGACATTTGTAATTCTTTGATTTTTGTTCTCAGATTATAAGTTGCTCTGAGGATACTGTAGAATCTCTTGCTTGGTATAATGGTCGTCTGTTTAGTGTTGGATTGAATGCTGAGATAGCTGAATATGATTTGATTAAACTTACCTCTAAGGTAGGATTTTTAATTTGTCATTTATTAGTACAGTAATAGATTTTAAAATTTATTTAATACTAATTTAGATATCTGGGATTACCTGATGATATATAATGATGATACTGTAATAGGATAAAATTTTGCTATGAATAGATAATGTACAACCTTGCTTGTAATGAATTTTTTTCACTAATAAAAACTTAAAATAATTTATAGTACAATGCATGAATATTTATTTTTGTAACAAAAAGTAATTTATTATAAAGATAAGTGATCATACAAACATATCAGAAAATCAAATTTTGGGAAAATATGTGATTTATAATCTCAAGAGCCTTTGCAACCAGTGCCGGCCCGAGGTAAGTTTTAGGATGGAGCGAGATCCTATTATGGCNGATATTAAAGTATTCCTTTGCTCATTTTGTCAAATCTTCTATGGAAACTTGATTGTTTTGGGAAACAGCATTAAAAGGACTGTAGTTGTTTGAAACTGAGAGAGAGTTTTCTTCATAAAGCTTTATCTGGACCTCCCCTTTCTTGAAAACATTTTATAACTACCTGGATTCTCCATATTCCATATGATACTTTATTGAGATGCTTCTTTTTTTATACTTCTAGATAATAATTTTCCTAATTGCTTCTGGTAATGCCTTACCTCTCACCTTTTTTCATAGACATTAATGTGAACAGCTGAAAGTGACTTGCCTTTTATATGCAAGATGTGACACAAGAAAAACTACAAAAAATAGCAGGAAAGTTTTGTTTTCTGCTCCTTATTGCTTGAATTTGTTCATAATAAGAGTTGTTAATTTTGTTTCAAATTACTATAATAGTAACATTACAAAAATGGAAAATTTATATACAAATAAAATTTTGAAATACATTAAACTATTGAATTATAAATATATTTTGTGTAGATCTAAATAATATATATTTAGTGTTAATTTTTACAAATATATATTTAAATCATCAAAATTAAATATTTTAGATGGTTACATAAAAATGGTAAAATATGCTAAAAATAATTTTCTAAGTATTGCTATATTTTATTGGTAATTTTTATTCTTGTGTTCTATTTTAACATGTGCAGAGAAGTGACCAAGCACGTGGTTAACATATGTTTACTCACTTCCAATTGTGATTGACCAATAAAAATCTCCAGTGGAATGATATCAACAAAGTGTTTGTTTACAGCAGGTTACAAGTTAGAATATACATGATGGACAGAATTGTTTGAATCCATTCAATATGACACCACCAGCAAAGTGCAAATTCTGAACTGATTGGTTGAAACAAAAGGACAAGACAGATTGTACAGTAGGATTATGGGCAACTGTACATTTGGATGCTGACTTATTTTGCAACAAGTGTAATTGCATAATACAAATGAAAAAGTTTCCAAGAAGTTTTTAATCATGGAGGTACTACCAAGCACACACAAAAATTTACCTGTGCTTATTGGTCCAAGACAGTTACACCTGACATTAGTTGCACCAGGTGATACTTTTCCCAGGGCCATCAAAAAATGATGAAATTTCAAGTAATACTGACAATGTGTCTGGAGATGGATCAGCAACTGTGAGTTTATATAGTTCAAGAGATGCTGCATACCATGCAGAACTTGTATGGGCCATGAAAACAATATGTAGTAATTTCCCATTTGCTGCTTCTAATAATATGCTTCCAAAAACTAAACTTCCTGAAGGAATATCAGTGATTGAGAAGAAATTAGAGATGCCACAAATATTCGGCTACTATTCGGTATTCGGCCTATTTTGCTACTTTTTTTAATATTCGGTATTCGGCCGAATACCAAATCGTAAAAAAAAAGCACATATTACTCAAAAACGTATTTATTTTAATCACAAGTTATTACATTTAATACTTAAAATCTATCAGTTGCAAGTTGTGATGAATGAAAACAATTTTTTCAGCATTTGTTGATAGCAAATGATTGCGCTTTTCCTCATAAACTATACCTGTTTCTGAAAATAGCCTCTCACTATATACACTACTGCCAGGAGATGATAGATAAATCTTAGCGAATTCTGTCAGGCTTGGATACTGTTTTGCGTTTGCTGACCACCACTTGTAAAGGTCTGCCGTCCGATGTAGGCGAATAGTTTTCATATAAAATGATACGAAATGGAAAATTAAGCACAAAGAAGAAATCACCATCAACTCCAACCATGTAAATCCCATGGACTTTGAGCAACACATCCCGTACTCTAAGACTATTGATCCTAGCCAAATAATTAACCTCAACAACGTCATTCCTCACTCAGCTATTACTATCTATACTGATGGATCTAAGGCTGACGACAGGGTAGGCTGCAGCTTTGTTGTATACACAAATATTGTGGAATCTTACCACAAAAAATTCAGGCTAGCAGACCATTGCAGTGTTATTCAAGCCAAACTTCTCGCAATCCTCAAGGCTTTTACTTGGAGCTCAGAGCTCCACAATCACACTGACATCCACATTATTATGTACAGCACTGCTGCCATTCAGATCATCAGGAACAACAACACCCACCCAACTGACAACAAAATTAAGAAAATCCTCCTGCGTTCAAGTAATAACTATTATCTGACCTGGACTAAGGCACACCAAGGCACCAGAGGAAACGAACAGGCAGACACTTTGGCTAAGGAAGCCACCACTGATGACAGTCTTCCTATACAGTACAATGCTATTCCCTTCTCACATGTCTGCAAAACCCTCTGGGAAGAACTGCAAATCAACTGGCAAACTGCTTGGGACAGAGATCATAATATTACCACCCATGCCTACCTTCCCAACATCAAGCACAGGAATGACCTAACACGGCTAAATCCCAGTCATAACCTTACCCAATTCCTGACCAACCATGGCCACTTCAACAGCTACCTCAATCGTTTCGGTTTCCAGGACAACAACCTGCGTGCTTACTGTGGTGTCTGAGATAGGAGTGACCACTATGCTTTTGATTGTCCTATGCTCCTCAGGGAAAGGACTTTCATTATTACAAGCCTTCCAGCTAACATCACCTGTCCCTGTAATCATCATACTCCTCAATAGCAAAGAGCTATACGAACTTTACATCAAGCTGATAAATACATACCAGAGGATAACACCTGTTCACGGTTTCACTCCATCTCCTGCTTAATCTATCACCTTGTTTCTGTGTACTTACTGTGTACTTATTTACATGCTCTGTACCATTTTCCATTGTCCTGTACTCCATCACCAACCCCAATTGTGCTATGCGGTATTGGGGATGTACTTTGTACATATGTAAATAAATTGATTGATTGATATAAAATGATACAGTGATATTTTTTAGTAATAAGGACTATTAGTAACACAATTTGATGTAACAATGAACAAATAATGCATGTCATGACACGATCTACTCGCAAATAAAACAAATGCACCCGTGGTGTTGCTACTGCACCCACCGCAATAAGACAAATCGTAACCTGTCACCTGCGAAATGTACACATATTTTGCTGAACATTCAGCCGCTGAATATTCGGTGTTTCGGCTGAGAGCATAGCCAAATATTTGGTATTCAGCAAAATCACTATTCGTGGCATTACTAGAAGAAATTGTACTATTTAATAACTGGAGCATTGGCTCTCTATTTCCAAAAACAAATGCTAGAAGTAGTCCACACTTCTTCATTCTTTACAATTAGTTAAGATGAAACCAGCAATGTGGAAAGTAAGAAAGATTATGAGTAATGATTAAGTTTTGGTCTGAGCAAAAAGAACAAGTTTGCAGACACTTAAATACAGTTTCTCTTGAGTGGGTAGATGCAGAAACATTGCATGCACACATTATCAAAGTTATCGATGATGCCAACCTGTCACTGCACAAACTTTTGATGATAGGATCAGATGGTTCAATTGTTAACCAAAAAATGTTAAGACTTTTTAAGGAAGATGTACTGGAAATTCACAAGAAAAGCCTTGTTGACATTGGAACATGCACAATTCATATTATTCATAATACATCTGAAAACATTAAGTGAACTGGGTGAAGATGCATCAGAACTTATTGTGGCAATTTACAGATTTCTTGATTGATGGCCTGCTCTTTGGGAAAGTTGTAAATCTGTGCAAGAAAAGCTCAAGTTGCCCAAGCATAGATTTATAAAACACTCAACAACACATTGGCTGACATTCCATGATACAGCATCAAGGTTAATTGAGCAGTGAGAGAGTTTTAATTAACTTACTATTTCTTAAAGTATGTTCATTCAAGTAAACAAAGCATAATGTCAAATGCTTTGTACAGAAGTGTATCTTGTTTGTTGAAGATTCCTTCCATGAAAGCAGAAGTACTTCAAGGCATTTCAAGTGCAGAAATTTTCACAAAATAAATATAATTTTTTCAAAGAACCTCTAATACATCTCCTGTACAGCAAGCTGTGGGACTTGCTTCTAAAGCTAGTTACTAGAATTTTGAAAGTAGATATTTTGAAGCTTGTCATTCAGTCTAAGTCTGCTATGCCTGATAGTAATGTATTAAATCCGAAGAAATTATTTGACAAGACACCTCTTCCATTAGAGAAAATTATTTGCAGTGCTGAGGTCGCCAATGAGTTGAGTAAATTAGCTCAAGAAGATCAATTGCATTTTAAAGTTGCTTACAAAAACGCTATGTTGTGGCTTTCACATATTTGATAGAAAAAACTCCAATTCAATGCAAACTGTTGAAATCATTGACATGTCTTCAGCCAAGTAATATTAGTGAAAAAAGCACTTGTAAGGACATTGTAAGCTTTGCAAGAGCTCTTCCATGTGACGTTGCTGAGAATACTTTGCAGGATGATTGGCAGCTATGTCAACTTGAGCAAGTTGAGAGTGATGAGACAGACTCAGCAGATGAGAGAATTGATTATTATTGGAGTCAGTATTTTAAATTGGTTGACTCCCTTGAGAATGCAGGATATCCCAGTGTAGCCAAATTGGAAAAATCAGCATTGACCCTGATCCTCTCTCATGGCAATGCTGATGTAGAAAAGGGGGTTTTCAATTTCACTTAATGCACTTCCTCCTGATAGAGCATCAAGGTCAGAAAGTATGCTTAATCCACTTTTGACTGTTAAAGAGGGAGTAAACATGTATGACCAAAGCCCACACCTTATTCCTATTACAAAAGACCTACTGAAATTAGCTGCCTCAGCACACAGAAATTATCAAGAACAATTAGAAAATGAAAAGAAGTTAAAATAACAAGAGAAACAGAAAAAAAAAGAGAAAAAGAGGAAGCACAGAAACATTTTGAAGAACAACAAAAGAAAGCTGTTTGTGACAAGGAAAAGATTATGGCACTGCAGCAGAGTTTAAAACAGAAGAAAGTGAAATAGACAAGACAGGCCAAATTTTGTTAGAAGCAGCAAACAAAAAACTGGAGAATGCCAGTAATAACAAGAACATGAATGTATACTGGCAGCATATTTCATGCTTGTTATTGTTAAAAGTTTTGATGATATGAAACTGTGCTTTACAATTTGTTTATGCTTCTAACACAATAAAGTGTTATAAATTAAGACACTTGGCGGGTTTTCTCATCTTTATTTAGTTGATCGCCGCAGACCTCAGGCACCACTTGAGCGAGCACGCCCAACGTCGCCCGGCCAATCCGCACCCTTCTTCGGAACGGGCGTCTCGCCAGGAGTCCGCGAGTCGAAGGTCCCGCAGGTCGGCGGGCCGTCGAAGCCAGGCGACGTTGGGCGTGCTCGCTCGAGTGGTGCCTGAGGTCTGCGGCAATCAACTAAATAAAGATGAGAAAACCCGCCAAGTGTCTTAATTTATAACACTTTATTGTGTTAGAAGCATAAATAAATTGTTAAAAGTGTTCAAAAGCAAGAGGAAGCAAAAAGAAGGAAGCTGAAAACATCCAGAAAAATCTTAATAAAAGAACATCATCTTTCATGACTGATTATTTACAGAAGCCAAAAACTTAAGTATTCATGGTTTACTGGAAATATTACAGTATGTACAGAAATTTTTAAAATGTATTTAACCATAACAGAATAAAAAGAAAGAAACAACTTCTACTGCTATTTTGCTGAGTTTTCCTTCCATGTTTTCACTTTGTTTTGTCACTACTGCACTTACTTTTTCTGTATTTCAACTCACTTTTCTCACTTTTTCAGAGAGAAAATGGCACTCCAAGACCTGAGATCGCTACATTTACAAATAAATTATTTATCAATACGTAGTAAAAAACTAATTTAATGTCCAATGAAATTATTATTAAAATATATNTATGTATAGTCGTTTTTTGTCATTTTCTGTATGTAAATTCGCTTTATAATTTTGTATTTTATTACATTATTTTTCTTTTTTAATTTGGATATTATTTGTTCTGACGCATGACGACTCTTTCTTGCAGTTCGTTGACTTGCCTGTACATTTTTTGAAAAAAAAAAATATATATATATATATTATATTATTACTTACCACCGCTATCTTTTTGTTGACATACGTAAGGTGCTACAGTGTTTTTGTCGTTACAAGGAGCAGTCTTTGCATGTGGACCTCCCTGGAACATTACACAGTCATTAGAATATCCCCACTCTGGATCATCTTTCCATAAAGGAAAATCTCCAGTATTCATTTTTTCTCCGTCAGTAAATTCCATTTCTTCTACACCTCCACCAAAGCCTTTTCTAACTGCTTTTACTCCATTCCACAATGGCATAGGGAGACTAAAGCTATTGAATTTTTTCTTTATTTTTTTCCAAACTTCTTCGCTTGGGATCGAAATTAATTCCTTTTTATCTCCACAATTCTTTATTGCGTCGTTTTTCTTATTAACAGGTAAATAACTTAGCGTTATAGATCCATCGTCATCATCTACAGATTTGAAATTTTTTTTATATATATAATATTATAATATAATAAATATTAAATATATTTATTTCTACAGAGGGAAATTTGTCTGCATGTTACTATAAAACGAAAAATTTTAAGTGTTCTTATAAAATAATAAAAACAATTGCATTTTGTATATTGAATTTAAAACCATTTCGAATTCGGTAGACAATGAAATTTGAAAAACTTACCTGCAGATATCAGAAATAAACGAATAAAAAAAGATGTTAAAAGAAAGAAGATTTTCATTACAGTCGAGAGCTTCATTGTAACCTGTATAGAAATGACTAGAAAATAGTTATGATTAGCGTGTATAAAGTTAACAATAATGATAAAATCTGAAGCAGTAAGTCACGATATAGAAAAGAAATCTCAATTCAATATTCTCGCATTTTTTCAATAGCAAAAAATGTTTAAGAATTAATAAAGATAAAGCATTTACACCCTGGATATATTCCTACTTTTATTGAATATTTGATATACTCCAAAACCATTTTTTTTTTCAAAATTTTTACATAGTATTTGAATAGCAAATTTATGAAAATATGTTCAAATAATATAATTGAATTAAGATTTACATACTGTAATACTATAAAATACTGTAGAACAATGTGTATTTTTCATAGTTTATCATGTTTCAAATCAATAATCAGATTATAGAAAGTTGGTTTTAATTAACTGTACTAATGATAAGGATTACAATTATCAATTAATGCAAACTAACATTAATACAACATTAGTTTTTTTTTTGTTTTTTTTTTTGGTTTCAACACTTAATTGTTTAAGTTTATTAAAATAAATAGATTTTAAATTTTATATGAAAAACAACGTAACATTTTAAAATTGAATTCCGTTCATATATTTCATGTTCATGTAGATCTTATTGAACTTATGTCGGCAATTAAAAATAGATGGAAAACTTGTTTGTTTACCGTCACTTGGTAACATTGTTAAGATTAAAGTTAAATTATACCATTAAAAATTGAACATTTGAATTTGATATTAAATTTTAAAATTTAAAACTTCCGCGTTACTTATTATATCAATTCCTCAAACCGCATAAGTGGAAATACTTCGAATTGAATACGAAAACTTATTTTCAAACGTTAACACGAAATAAATAAATTTATAGAAAAATTAAATTAATTAAAATATCTATAACCGTTTGGCAGATAATAATAAGGGCTTATCACACCAATGATAATGGGCACAAACGCTCAAGAATCAAAGTAAAAACATTTAATAAAACAAAAAGGGTGTACAATAAGATGATTAAATAAGTATAGAAACCGAAAAATCCAAAATGCATTTCGGACTATTTTACAATAGAAAAATAGTCCCTCATCAGTTGGTAATAACGAAAGGTTTTAGTATACTTAAAAAATTATACAAGGTGAAAAAAATAAATTTAAAATTAAACTTAAAACTATGCCTAAAGCTATACAATATAAAGATGAAACCGTCGCCACGACTGTATGAGCAGTAAGCATTATCAATGTAGACAGGAGTAATATTTCTTCATAACTTTGCATGTTAACGTGACGAACAGAGTGCAAAAACAGTAGGACAACAGAGTTGCGGGTTCAGACATTTCTACAAGATGCAGTTACAAGTTACAAAGGAAGGCCGGATGGCCGCGCGNGACCTTTACGGGCCGAGCCCGCGCCGCGACTCCCGGCGTGCCGACGCACTTTCTCCCGCCCAGTAGTACGCCGCGACCGGTGGAGTCACTTCTAAGCGTCAGTCGTAAGGGCTGGTGGCTGAAGGTGGCCGGCTTTCCTCTCCTCGGAGGGATCGCCGGTGTTATATCTGTCCGCCCCGGACGTGTCGCTCCACCGAGGCACGACCAGGCCTTCCCGGCCAATCCGCACCCTTCTTCGGAACGGGCGTCTCGCCAGGAGTCCGCGAGTCGAAGGTCCCGCAGGTCGGCGGGCCGTCGAAGCCGGGCGACGTTGGGCGTGCTCGCTCGAGTGGTGCCTGAGGTCTGCGGCAATCAACTAAATAAAGATGAGAAAACCCGCCAAGTATCTTAATTTATAACACTTTATTGTGTTAGAAGCATAAATAAATTGTTAAAAGTGTTCAAAAGCAAGAGGAAGCAAAAAGAAGGAAGCTGAAAACATCCAGAAAAATCTTAATAAAAGAACATCATCTTTCATGACTGATTATTTACAGAAGCCAAAAACTTAAGTATTCATGGTTTACTGGAAATATTACAGTATGTACAGAAATTTTTAAAATGTATTTAACCATAACAGAATAAAAAGAAAGAAACAACTTCTACTGCTATTTTGCTGAGTTTTCCTTCCATGTTTTCACTTTGTTTTGTCACTACTGCACTTACTTTTTCTGTATTTCAACTCACTTTTCTCACTTTTTCAGAGAGAAAATGGCACTCCAAGACCTGAGATCGCTACATTTACAAATAAATTATTTATCAATACGTAGTAAAAAACTAATTTAATGTCCAATGAAATTATTATTAAAATATATAATTTTAGATTATTATGTCTTTGATGTTTGTAGATATGAAAAGTTAAATTTTTTAATCATTTTTCTGAATTATAACAATATATACTGTTAAATATAGAAGTATGAAAAGTACATGTACAGTACAGTACATATGGTTATATTGAAATATTTTTTACTTTTAGTATAGTTTTCCAGTCCATTCCAGTCCTTGTCATTGTATGGCTGTAAATACAAAAAAAGCTGCTATTGCTGTAAGTATATGAATTTTAATTTTAATTAAAAATTTATGAAGTAAATAGAGAATTGTTTTGCTTTGCCAAATTAATGAAGTTAGAGTAAAAAAATGACTAGATGCTTCATTTAAAAATATTTTTGCTAATTTTAATTATTATTATTTTATATTTGTTTTATTTATCATACCAGGTTGGCACAGAAAATGGTTATATTTGTATATTTAAAATAACATCAAATGATTTGAATTTTGAAAAGACATTAAGCAAACAAGAAGGTAAGGATTTTTAATTTAAAGTATAAAGTCAAAGTTAATTTACTTTTCAGAGAATTAAAAAGAGTTTGTAAACATAAAATGGTTTAGTGCTCTCATTTTTTTCTGTCTTTTTTTATATTTATGTTTAAGTTTTGTATTTATGCTTCGTATCTCACCATTTTATAAACTACACTCTTCAAAAGTGAAATTTCAACACCATGAAGGAATGTGTGTAGCCACATGTACATTGCAGGAATGGTAAAGGTGACAGATATGCAAATGACTAAAAGAACAAACATAGATATGCAGCAGACATCTGTTTATTCAGTAATGAATGTAGCCCTTCAATGCACAGCTATAGAGGCTTCTATACAGCAAGGCATACTATCAATGAGGCAATTAATAGTTGTCTAGTTGTCTATGGTATTCCTTGTCAAGCTGCATCCTCTGCAGGGTGCATGTCGTCTACAGTATGTGTTCCTTAATGCATCTCATATCGGTCAAGGCCCCACAGCTTTCAATGGGAGAGAGATCCAGTCAGACTACTGGCCTGGGAAGGATGTAAATTCCACTCAGACTGGTGAGAGTTTACCATGCAACCTGTGATCAGGCGTGGTCTTGCTGGAACACCATGTTGGGTGCAGCCTGCACCAGTGACTGAACCACAGGCCCCACTATTCATGTGATGTACTGTTCTACTGTCAGAGTACCAGAAATGTGCAAGGCTGTCACATTTGATCAAACACGATACCTTGTGTGGGGCAAGTGTGATACTTCACAAAAAGGGCTGGAATGTAGTGTTCTCCAGGATACCACTACACCCTTCTATGGCCATCATTCCTCTGCAGACTGAAATGGGATTCATCCGTAAACAATACCTGATGCTATTCAGTGGTGATGACAACACCATGATAGGCATGCAGCCCACCTTTATGCAATCTATTTTGAATTGTTTGGGTGGACACAGTTGATGGTGACAGGTAGCTTTGGATGTCATGTGCCATAGTGAACAGATCCTGACTGGCCATTCAGCAAATCTGCCAGTCTGTGCGCTCTTTTTCCCAGTTTATTAATATTTTATAAAGTTAAGGAAATTTATTAAGAGATAAATTTAATAAATATATACTTTTGTACCTGGATTATATAGAATTTGTTAATGAATAATAAAAAATATTTGATTTTTTTCTTTTTTCAAAGCCATGTAGATTTATGGTTGTGGATTAATAACAGAATAACAAAATTTTAATAATTCAGCCATTATAAAAATATATAACTTTTAATTAGAAAAAAATAACTAATTAAAATGTTGGAGAAGCATAGTAAGTCAAATGCTGCTTTATTTTGTCATTGTGCCATACTGTAAAGGACATGAGGGTCAAGGAAAGTGTAAGGTTTGCCGACTTTAAGGGGAGTACAATTTATCCCGCGTCAGAATGAGCCTAAGGGAAACCCCGTATGTGGGCGGTGACAAAGGAGGCAAATGAAGAACAAGTGTTTTACAAGAGAAAACCCATTTATTTGTTCAAATTCATGCTTGCATTGATATTGAACAATTCCAAAATCTCGGTGTTCCTATGAAACAGTGAGAGTTGGGGTGATCGGTTGTAGCCCGGCCGGATGAGAAGGATCGCTGGATGATGCAGATGTTCGGTATTAAGCTGCGGCATCCTAGGTGATCGGCGGTAGCACAACACAATAGATAAAGCACAACTGTAGGCTTAATCCAGAGGAGACTCTCCTTTGACCTTGAAGTTCCGATTTTTATAGTTTTTCCTCCACTATTCGCATTTCGGATTGGTCCCTTGTCCCGTTCCTTGCTTCCCGATTGGTCTCTCCTTTGTCTCCAGGTGCAAGACGAAATCTTTTCGGGTCGCGGGAAAGGTCTGATTTGAGGTGTCCATCTGATATCTCTTTGTTGACTCTGCTCGGTGACTGTTTATAAAACAATAACGCCTGCACTCATAACTCAGGCTGTTGTTTACCATTTTTTGACATCTAAGAATTTAACGATCATTTTCATCTTTCATCTATCAAAAATTCCCTTTTTTTCTTTTCTTTTGTTTGAAAAGATTTATCTTGCCCAACATTTTATAGACTTGCAAGTCAAAGATCTACCTGTTTATGAGCACTCATGTTAGAGTTTGTCTTCCGTTAAGACCTTGACAGATAGTTTGACACATACTCGAACAGTTCCGAGTCTTGTTGTTTACAGCTTGTGTTGTGCAAGAATTGACATTCTTGCTGATTCTTGCTTGCAGACGTTTTACTCGAGTTTGAACCTCATCTGGGAGCCCACAAAAGTCATGGAAATTAAAACAAAAATTTGAGTAGGAACCCTGTATTTAAATTATTGAAGATATTTGTTTATATGTAAGAATTAAAATACTAATACAGCACAAAATAAGAATAAAAATCTGTTTATTTGAATTGAATATTTTCTGAATTATGATGATTGATTTAAATTTATCTTAAACCATTATTAATCTAATCTAATAATTTTAAATCTGTGTAAAAGTTAGACTCTTTAAAAAAATATTATAATTTAAGAAAGGTGAATAATAAATATTAACTAATTATATAATAATCTTTGTCATTAATTTAAAATAAATAATAAAATAAATGAAATAGTTTGTTTTGACTGATTTCATGTATGATGTCAAATCATAAAATATATGAGTATTAACTTTATGTATTTGTTCAAATAATGATTAAAAAGACAAGCATTTTATAATTATTTATATTTTCAGGTAGAATAATATGCATTGCATGGCATCCTACTGAAGATATTATTGTTTCTGGGTCAATTGATGTCATTCGGATATGGAATGTTAAATCTGGCTATGCATCTGAGAGAATAATTGTTGGAAGCTTACAACGTAAAAAAGAAACAATAGTTTGGTGTATTGCTGTTACAAGGTATATTTATTGACAATGAAACTGTTTTTATTGTACTCGATTTTTATAAGTATTATTGTATTTCAGTGATTTTACTATAATAAGTGGTGATTCTTGGGGTAGAACTTCCTTCTGGGATGGAAAAACAACAACATTAATTGATGTAAGTGAATTATTTATTTAATAAAATTGTTTTTTATTATATAATATATTTTGTATACATAAAAATAGTAATTATAAGTGAATGAATTTTATTAAACAAACAATATATCTTTATAAAAATAAAATGACATTTTGATTCTTCAAAATAAATATATTTTTTTTGTTTAAAACTTCATTATGTATAAAAATGTGACCGTAGGGTCGGTGTCTCTTCGACACCACATCAGGAGACCTGAATCTGACACCACTGAGTCTTGCAGGACTCGGAAATCGCGACGTTACGTCACGCGAGCGGTAGCGGGTGAGCGATTGGATTTGGAGTAGAGGTGAGGAGAGAGACGAGGAAGGAACTTAATCAGATTCCATGGTTGCTAACAATTAACAATTTTAATGAAACTAAAGGAAATACAAAGAGAGTTAATTTCGGTCATAGTTCCTCTATTCAAGAGAGGCCTGTCGAGAGAGAGAGTTTACAAACGAATCACAGGTTGATAAATACCTTGTCGATGGACTGTTCTTTCCACTAGTTCCAAATCGGAGGAGTGTAGAGGCTTAACCAGGCACGATTTTTTCTCACGGGTTTAATCCTGGGTCACGATTTTAATTTGGGAGGACGACTTTGTTGAGCGGACTTTTTGAAGACGACTTTTGTAGAGGGACTTCGGATGACGACTGACCTCGGGGTCTTTTTTCTTTTCTCTTGTTATTCCTCTTGGGTTTTTTCATTAGGTCAGGTAGTTGTTGTTAAGGGTCTAGCGTCCAATATGGATTCTCCATCGAAAGTTCCTGGTGACACATCCCTGACTAACTGGATCTGACTCAACAAGGAACAAACTCCGTGGGAAATAATTTTTATGGCTTTTAGCCTAACTCGATAAAATGCTCGAATTTAACCGATTAAAGTTTCCAATAATTAAAATTTAAAATAACACTTTATTGTGGGTCTGTTCGTCCCTCACAAAAATATCAGATGTTACTGAATAATATATATTGTTATATTATGAAGATTTTCATATTTACAATATACAATATGATCTTGTTTTACATGGGCTTTGTGCCAGCAGGTACAATGTCAAATGAAAATTATGTAAATTTGTGCTCCACCTTAAGTAATCCCATATGTTTGCTTACATGCTTATACAATCATTTACAATTAACAGAAAATCATAAGTAAAATGTTTTAAATACATTTTAATATTTTTGCTACAACAAATAATATTTTAGTCTGATGTAATTTGAAGATAAAGAGCAAAATTTTATTACACTGTATTAAGTACACTACTTGAGAAAATACATACAAACAAAGTATTTGTCATAGTGTGTAGCATTCAGTAGTTCTTTGTGTTTGGAATGTCAGATGTTGGAGAAACATACTTTACTGATTTGAGTCAGATTCTGTCTTATGAGGAGTGGGTTAACCTAATCATTTGCCATCCACACAGACACAAATCTGCATGTATCATTCCTGTTTAAATTTAAAACAAGACTCTACTGTAAAGGTTTATTCATAATTTTGGAATGTTTTTATATATAAAGTACTGTACATGTTAACAGTTAGAAATACAACCAAGAACAATATACTGAATAGCTGTAACAAGGTTTCAGAAACAAGTGTAATTCACACTTAATTCCACAAATGTCCAGTAGGTAGAAGCAGACTTCTGAAAATAGTGATGAGACTTGAAAAAGCATTCTGTATGCTGGAGATTGCAAAGACAAATTTCATTTTAATGATTCAGTGCAGGTTTTGGACAGATTTGTAAGTAGATACAGTGAAGTTCAAATCATGTCCTCCACTTTCTGGTCCATCACAAAGAACACCTTATGACTCCTTGAACTCAGTTCACATCCATTTATTTGACAACTATTTACAAATGTACAACAATACGTCTTGCTTGCTTCTCACAACACAGTCTTAGGTCAGGCTTATTTCTCCTGGTTCCAACAGTGACTTCTTTTGAGAGTGCATAAAAGATAGTGTCTTTGTGACACCATACCATAGGATTGCTAGAATTATGCTTAATTACCACGGCCATCAACACAATTGATATCAGCACTGTAAAGGATTTGATCTGAGATGGATTAACATTTTGACATTTGCAAGATCACAAAAGAAAGCTACATCAAATATTTCTGGTACATTAAAAACTTGTGCTTATTATTATTAAATATTTTTGGGATTGACTAGGAAACTGGAAAAATTTTTAAAAATCAGTTTTTTATTAAGTTTGTTGTTATCCAGTAGATTATTCAAGATTACAGATTACGCCATGACATAAAAACCATGTTTTGTTATTTCTTTTTGTGTATTTTTGTTTCTGTATTTATGATACAAGAAGATTAAATGACAAATTATTGATAACAATAAAATTACCAAATGAATAACTTCTGGATTAACTTTCGGCTAGTTATTAGCTACTAAGGCAGTTGATGAATAGGTAATTAATAAAGTTGAAACTTGATTATTTGTATATAATGGTAAAATTATATATAAAATATGTGAATAAGTTCTTAGATACTAATACTAAGAAAAATACAAATAGCAAATACAGTCGACCCCCCCCTATAACACTGTTGATTATTCCGTTTTATATGAATTCCATGTTGTACGAGTCACTTAAATTTTACAAATACGTATGCTGGGCTGTGAATGGCTCACATATTTGTAAAATCTAAGTGACTCGAACAACATGGAATTCATATAATACGGAATAATCACCAGTGTTATGGGGGGTCGACTGTATTGCACATCGAACGTGCCAACGCATTGGCTTGGGTGGCAACTTTGCTAACAGGCATCAATTTATTGTATGTCCAGTTTCCAACTTCCAGAATTAAACAACTTTTATGGCATCTTGCATCACAGAGTGGCAAAAGGAATTCGATCGTTTACCACAACATATTTCCCGTCAATTTATTCCAAACATTGCAAGGTGCCTTACATGGAAGTGGTTTCATCCACAACACCAGATCTCTCAGATGACAACCAAACATAGGTGATTTAATGTATACTTGAACTGTTTTCATCACAGTGACACAAATTGCTGCCCAATCTGCAATGTGCAGGATGGAGTGAGACATTATCTTCTGTCCTGCCCAATGTTGGAAGATATCAGGCGTACGCTTAAACTGCAAATGGAAGAGGACAAGCATAACTGGCCGTGCAAACTTGAATTACTAATATCCAGCAAAAGTTACTTCAATCTTTTTAACATCATGACCAAACTTTACATCAATAGGACTCTAATACACTAAGTATGGTACAGTACATCTTGTTTTTTTTTTTTTTTTCCTTTCTCTTTTCCTTCTTTGTACATATGCGGTATTTTGCTTTGCTTTATTTTTTTAATAATATTTTTTTCATGTTGGTTTATTTTTTACGTTCGGCATGTGTCGACTGTGTAAGTCATGTACATTCTTCCAACTGTGCCCAGTGGTGTCAGGCAAATAAAGAATAGTTTGTCTGCTTGTCTGTCTGTATTGCACATCATAAACTCACAGTAAATTTTATACTGAAATAAGATGTATAATAATGAAATTCAAACTACATGCTTCAATTTATTTGTAATATTTGCAAATGTTACGTAATAATTGTTTTCTTTATTGTAGTCAATGAAAATTCATAAAGCTGATATTCTTACACTTTGTCTCAGTAAGGTAAGTATATTTATTAAAAATGTTTAAATTGTTTAGCATAATTTAATTAAAATATATATTTATAGAATTATAATTATTCAATAGTAAATATTAAGTCTTTCTTATAAAATTATATGTTTGCTATTTTCTTCTATTAAAGTTTTTTTTTAGTATATAATATCCTTTTAACTAATGCTGTTTATTACACAATGTGGCCTTCATAATATGCAGTTACCCTTGCTTAACAACTTTAATTCATTCCTGAAAAGCAAAAGGTTGTTAAATGAATAAGCAAATTGTCTTACTTTTAAAGGAAAAAATTATAATGCATTTTGTCTTTACTGAAAAAATCTAAATGATTTTCACAGACAGAAAAATAAAGATATTTATAACAATAAAGATATTTACAAGTTTACATTAGTAACAAACAACAACTCTGAACATAAGATATTATACTGTTGTGATCAAAAAGTATTGAGAATGGCTCATTTAAACTGTGCTCATTCAAGAGGACATTGTCATAACTTTTTTCATCCTTTGGTATGACTTTAATTGACACCTATCAACAATCTGTATATCATTGTATGTTTTCATTTGCAAATAAATGTTTGTTGTGTTTGTAAAGAATTTTGTGCCAGTAATTTTTTAAAATGTTGAGTGTAATTGAGCAAAGAAGTGTATTAAATTTTGTTTCTGCAACAGAATTACTGCTACAAAAATGTTGGAGATGTTGCAAAAAACTTTTGGCGATGATTGTCTATCAAAAACGAGTTTTTGAGCACATATGAAGGCAGAGAACACATTGAAGATGAACCATGCTATGGTAGATCCATCTACTTTAATTGATAACAACATGTCACTCAAGTCAGATGTGATGCTCAATGATCATCATTTAACAATTAGGGACATTACTGAACATGTTCCAGTATCATTTGGACCTTGTCAAGCAATTTTAAAAGATTATTTGTACTTGCAGTGCATTGCTTCTCAAGTCATCCCAATGTTTTTGGGATGACTTGAGAAGCAATGAATCTTTTCCAAAGAATTTTTTCCAAAAACATGTTCAATTGGCCAAGGAATATACTTTTTCTCAAGATGAATCATTCTTAAAACACATCATTGCTGATGAGGAAACATGAACTTATGCTTTTGACAATGACACAGCTCAATCAAATGAATGGAGCTTGAAAGGTGAAGCAAGACTGAAAATGAAAAGACCATTCAAAGTCAGTCAAAGATAAAAGTCATGTTGATTGTTATGATGATATGCATCACAAATTCCTTCTGACTGACCAAACTGTCAACAAAGAATATTATTTGAGCATTTTGTGTCATTTGTGTGAAGAAATTCATAGAAAACAACCTGATTTGTGGCAAGAAATTTTTTATATTTTGCACTATGATAATGCACCTGCTCACAATGCTTTTGTTGTTCATGAATTTTTGGCCAAAAATACAGTTCTGCAAGCTTCTTATTCACCTGATATGGTACCATGTGACTTTTTCCTGTTTCCTTGACTAACATTTCCACTTTATATTTACTGTTTTGAGTCAACTGATTCTATAAAACAAAATTTGCTGCAAGTTCTGAAGGGATTTTATGAAAATAACTTTACAGCATGTTTCAAGGATTGGTAAAACATTGATATAAGTGCATTGCAGTGGGAGGGGATTACTTTGAAGGGGACAAAATAAATTTTGATGAATAAATTCAAATCCTGTGTTTTATTGAACCATAACTACTTTTTGATCACAGCAGTATAATAAAAGAGTATATAAATATGCTCTTCACAATGATAAATATAGAATAAGAATAAAGCAAACTTTACTAGTTAAGTTATTTTAATTAAATAACTTTAAAAGCAGTCTCTAGCTAGTAAAGTAATAGGGCTGCTCTTGGGATTGAAAGTAAATAAAAGGCAACTGAATTTATATAGATTTGTCATAAATATTTATTAATATAATTTCCTAAAACATATTTTTTGACATTATTAAATAAATTGGTTGAAATGATTTCAGATTTTTCTGAATTTATTTACCTTGCATTTTACAGGAGCTCCCATACTTACAAACATGTTAGGTTTCTAAGGTTTTGTTGTAAGTCGAAAACTAACCTAGAATGTATATTTGTACACAGAATAACCACTTATTCTTAGTGTTTGATCCTTCAATGTATTCAATAAAATATGTTATGCTTGTTTACCCACTGGTTACTGCTTAGTAGTAGGTGTTACAAATGCAATTTTTTCACCTAACACACAAGAAGAACGTTGCTACATGCAAGCCATGTAATACTTAATACTAATATTTTACTATTTTTCTTAAGAAAGTAAAGCATGGACTATTTGATGGGCAGAGTGAAGGTGTAAAACTGATTAGCAGTGACGTCATTGCATTAAGGCAAGACATGTCATGGCTAATCAGCTTTATTCCTTCACTTCACTCATCAAATAGTCCATGTATTACTTTTTATGAAAAAATAGAAATATTGAAAATAGAGAAATATCCTCGTAGATAGATAAACAGCATATATTTATCTATCAAATTAATGTTAGTACTAAGTGTTACATGACTTGCATGTAGTGATGTTTTTCTTGTTAGTTTTATAATGATCAGTTTAGTTTCCATGGTAATAGAATGACACTCTTTGCATTTATCTCCATTTCTAGATTTATTATTACATTTTAAAGGCGTGCTTGAAGCAATGGATGTAAAAGTTTATAAAAATTGGCAACGATAGCAATAAATGCCATTACTCCAATGTTACCAACTTTGATACCATTTCATGAGTGGCAGTGGAACCTCAGAATTTGCACAAAAATGAAAAATGATGATATACAATAAAATTAAGCCCACATTAATTATTTTAAAAAAATTTATTATATATTGCTGGCCAAAAACTGACTTTAATGCCACTCCATGAGCAGCAAGAGAACTTCAGTATCAGCACAAAATTTAAATTTTAGCCATACAGTCACATTGTTCATAAATATGGGAGCACATGTATATGTTTTAATGGAGTTAGATAGATGACCAGCATGACTATATTCTTAACAGGAAAAGTATGGTATACAGGGGCAAGACTATAAAATCAAAAGCCTATATTTTAAAATTAAATAAATTTAAAATGTGATTAAAAATTGCAGCCAACATTGTGATGATGTCAGAATAAATAATTGCTTGTTTGTACCTATTAGTTTCCAATTTGTATGATCAGTTCCAAATTTACATCCAATCTGGCAAAGAAAATTGCTACCATTGTTGTTGACCATTTTGGTCAGGTTATTGATGTTTCTGGGTGCAAGTATCACTGGTATACAGCTACTACCTGCTTGTCTTTCGATACTATAACATAAATCTTAATTACTGAATAAATTGTTCTGAGTGATTTCTTCTTGTTCACAAAATGCCAAACAGTCTGATTTGTCAAAGGCTGTTTTGATATTTGACACATTTTATGAAGTATTTGATGATGCATTGCAGAAAATCTAGTTCTTTGTTTGCTATTTTTGTTTTGATGCACCTGCATGCAACATTATCTATTAATGTAAGTTGCTTGTTTAATTTAGTGCATGTGGTTGGCATGTGCAACATTGATACAATTTTTTTTAATGAAACTTGTGCAGAATTGTTTTAATATCTGTCCAAGTTCCTAATTTTCTCTTGTAACACATTATAACTTTTATACTTTTATATATATACACAGAAATTATTATTATTAAAAAATATTTTTTAATTGCATTTCATTTAATGTGAAATAAATAATGTAAATTTGAAAAATAATGATACAATGATGCTTTTTTATAAAATATATTAATTGTAACTTTTTTATCAGGATGAAAATTTTGTGTATGTCAGTGGAGTTGATCCAATCATAATACAGTTTGTAAGAGTACAATCTACAAACAAACAAAAATGGGTAAAATCAGTCCAAAGGAGATTACACACACATGATGTTACAGCAGTGACATTAGCTAAAGAATATCTTATATCTGGTGGTAGAGTATAACATTAATTTTATTCTACAAATTACTAGTTAACATTAGCAAATATTTTTACTTTCCCATTTATATTTAACAGAGGGAAAGTGAGGTGATTGGTAAAAAAAAATGACTCCCCTCAAGGTTTTTAATTTTTGGATTCAGGATCTTGAAACATTAAGAAGTGGAAAAAAGTTGGGTGTTTTTTCTGTGTGTATGGCTGTTAGAGTGTGGGGGGCATGATTTTGTTCGCCCTCTTTAAAACTTAATAATTCCTGTGCTTTATGACAAAAATTTCTGAAAATTTGCAGGGAGGTTTGTATATTAGGAGGATTGAGGCTGTTAAATTTTGATGATTAATAGTCAAGGATGGAAGATAGAGGGGTTGTGTGTCATATATTAAGGGCAGACTTAATGAAGATTTTATTCACAATTAGCATTTGAAATTTTTTTTATAAAATTCGTCTGTACCCTCAAAATTAAGCTTTTTGCCATTTTGTAATAATTAATAATATAAAAAATTTTTAAATAAAATATCATAACAGATGGCACTATACACAATTTTAAAGTTTGACCAGGAAAGTTATGCAGTTCATTGCTGGATTTTTATCATCAAGAATTATTCTCTGACATTTCAGTTTGCTTCAAGATCTGAATGTCAAGTAGACTAAAGTATTATTCAAATAATAGTAATTCTTATGAGCAGTAATGCAAATACAACTTTGTAATTAATCTTATTTAAACTTTTTTATTATATTTAGAAATTTTGGAATTTAAGATTTTTTATTAATTTCATATAATATTTTTAATATCAAGAAAATGAAATTTACTGTCATTTGAGAATATATATTTTATTGCTATCATTTTTCATTTAAAATTTAATTCCATTAATCTATATCATCATTTTCTTGAAATTATGCTTCAGTATGTCGTCATCAATTTTTTACTGTTATTTTTTCTATTTTTGTCTTTACTTTTTATTATATATTAGGCTCAAAGAATGAAAAAGCTCATTGAGTGAAAAAATTGACCACAATGCATTCTGACTTCTCAGAACCAGTCATAACATGAATTATGTGTTGTAGCACTTTCAAAAATGTGAACAACACATTTTGGCATATTCAGTGAGACCACGAAGCAAAAGCTGTCCATATTCTTTTAGTAATCAACCAAAATGTGATTTAGCAATGTGAAAATGCCACAACACTTTGTGGATGATTAATGCAGTCATGATGCAATGTGATAAAAAAAATTTATTCAAAAATTTGTTATTATTTTTGCACAGATATTTTTAATAAATAATTTATGTATAATCTAATTCTGAACAATGTTTATTAATGTTGTAACAAATAGTATATTCGGCCTCAGGCCGAATACCGAATATTTGGCCAAACTATTCGGCTTGATTAACGCATGTACGAAAATTGGTGTGCAAACCGCATTATGGCAAGGATCCTGCTTTCTATTGGCCTGCTGTCACTACACTTCGCCAATCGCATTAATTCTTGGCAGTTCTAGCCAACAGACAAGAGTGTCATGGAAGTATGTGATAAATGATGATATCAAATGACCTACACTTGTAAATAACGGAAAAAGAACAGAGAAGGACCGCGAAGTGAAAATGTGAAAATAAATATGAAATTGAGTTGATAACAATCGAACAAGTCGAGGCAGCTTATTGGCGCGAAATTCGCGGCCGTCAATGCCAAACAATTGTTGTCATAGACTTCGAAAAGCTAAATGCTTGTAATGAAAGTCACTTAGCGTGCACAGGCGAAAGCCTAGGGCCGTTCGGGCTATCAAGCTGTCTCGAATCTGTGAAATCATAACTGTGACTTATATCGACGTCCTATCTGTCTCTTTTCTC